GTAGTCCCAGCTACTCGGGAGGCTGAGGCAGAAGGATTGCTTGAGCCCAGGAGTCTGAGGTTGCTGTGAGCTAGGCTGACGCCACGGCACTCTAGACAGGGCAACAGAGCCAGACTCTGTCTCAAAAAAAAAAAAAAAAAAAAAAGTTGTCCTATCCATAACCACTGAGCATAGAGCCATACGTTCCTACTCCTTTTTGGCCTTCATTTAGTCTTACAATGACAAGTAAACGACACGCTTATTACTCTGGTATGCAGATGTCTCCCTAGGGATTCTCACAATTTGAACCTGGTTCTCTAGGCCAGCGGTTCTCAGACTTGCTGTACATCAGAACTAACTAGAAGGCTTGTCCACAGATTTCTGGGCCTCACCCCCAGCATTCCTATTTATTCAGGTATGTGTGTTGGGCCCAAGGATGTGCATTTCCAACCAGTTTCCAGGTGATGTTTATGCTGCTGGCCTCGGGTCCACACGTGGAGAACCACTGGGCCCAGCATATTCCTAGGAAGGGCTCAAGGGACCAATACTCCCTGAGTTCTTACATGCTGATCACTTGTCTGTGTCCTGTTTCATGCAAAATCCCTGGCTCACATATTCTTTGAGCTTCTGAAATATATTCTTCCATTTTCTTCTAGCATCTAGTCTTGTTTTCAAAAAGCCTGATGAAGGCCGGGCGCGGTGGCTCACGCCTGTAATGCTAGCTCTCTGGGAGGCCGAGGCGGGCGCATTGTTTGAGCTCAGGAGTTCGAAACCAGCCTGAGCAAGAGCGAGACCCCATCTCTACCAAAAATAGAAAGAAATTAATCGGACAACTAAAAATATATAGAAAAAATTAGCCGGGCATGGTGGCGCATGCCTGTAGTCCCAGCTACTCGGGAGGCTGAGGCAGGAGGATCGCTTGAGTCCAGGAGTTTGAGGTTGCTGTGAGCTAGGCTGACGCCACGGCACTCTAGCCTGGGCAACACAGTGGGACTCTGCCTCAAAAAAAAAAAAAAAAAAGCCTGATGAAAATGTAATTTTCTTTTCATTATACATCACTTGCTCCATTTTTCTTAGATGGCTAAGGATTTTTTTCCCTTTAAAGTCCAATATTTTTATTAGAATCTACATTGGTATTAGTTTTTTCCAGGTCAATATCCTCAGGTACACAGTGTGCTAGTCCAATATGTAGCTTCAGACTTTTTTGTTTCAGGAAAGTGCTTTTGCATCATGGTTTTGACTGTTCTGTTTCCTTGTTTTGTTTTTTTTTCCAGGGCCTCCTTCTATCCATATTTGGATCTTCTTTGCCTGTCTTCAATATTTGCTATTTTCTTGTGAATCCCTTTTTCTACTTTTTTTTTTTTTTTATTTATCTTTCCTTTTGTTTCTGGGGTGGAATCATCCTAAATCTTTTTCTATCTTGTAAAGTTTCATTTTGATTTTTAAAAATGTTCTTCTCACCAACAGCCAAGAACACAGGTCAGGTTGGTGAAGTGACATCATCCTTCATGTAGCTGTAGTACTGTATGTGCCCTCCATTAGAGCATGTATTAGCTTATTTATTTGATTTAAATGAGCATTTATTGTGTTCTCAGCACTATTTTAGGGGATATAGCAGTGAACAAAACTAAGACAAAGGCCCTGCTCTCAAGCTGCTCATATCCTGTTGGGAAGACAGACAACAAACAAGCAAGTAAATACATGATGTGATGCCCAGTAGTGGTCAGTGATATGAAGGAAATTAAAGCAGAGCAAATGGAGAGAAGTTACAGGAGGGAGTGTGGTTGTGTGGTCGTTTTATGGAGGGTGGTCAGGGGAGGCTGCTGCAAGGGAGTGAGACGTGATGGTCTGGAAAAGGAGCGTTCCAGGCAAAGGAAATATCAAGTGCAAAGGGCCTGAGGTGGGAATGAACTTGGCATCGTCAAGAAAAGTGAGGCGGCCGGTGTGGCTGGAGCAGAGCGAGCTGGGGGAGAAGGGTGAGGGATGAGATCTGAGTTGGGTGGGGACCAGATTGTGGGGCCTTGTAGGGGAGACGGATTTTGTTCTGAGGGAGATGGCAGCTGCAACCTTCTGGAATGTGACTGTCTCTCCACTGGCAGGGGCATCCCCCAAGGGCTGGGCTCTTACCCTCGGAGTCCCCAGCAGTGCCAGGGCGTGGCCCAGAAGAGACCTCAAGGTGTGACCTTAAAAATTAACGATGTATGGGGAAGGGAGGGGGGGATGGGTAAATTCACACCTAACGGGTACAATGCACACCATCGGGGGGATGGGCACATTTATAACTTTGACTTAAATGGTACAAAAGCAATTCATGTAACCAAAATGTTTGTACACCCATCATAGTCTGAAAAAAAATTTAATGAAGCAACATAAACATAGATCGGTGCTTGGAAATACTATCCCTCTATTGTCTGCCTGGCAAACTCCTATGCTTCCTACAAGATCTCGCAAGGCGTCACCTCCACCAGGAAGCCTTCCCTGATACCCTCTAGCATCCAGGCTAGGTGGGTGGGCCCCTCCAGGTTCCCACAGTGCCTTGTCCTCCACTGTCACTTGTATTTCTGTGTTGGGACGGGCTGTCTCCTCCAATGGACTGGGATGTATTTGAGGGCAGAGATCTAGGATGATCCATCTGCAGGTCCCCAGCGTCACCCACAGTAGAACCTAGACCTCCAGAAGCCTCAGAAAATGTTTATAAATAAATATACAAAAGAAAACATGCGTTTCTCCACCTGCTGAGCTCCTACTTATACTTTAAAACTCTAGCCAAATGTCTCTTTTTCCAAATGCTTTCATGTGACTCCTGCAGAAAGAGTCTTTCTCTCTCTCTACTGGGCCCAGGATGCTTCCATTATCACACTTGCCACCCTATAATGTGACAGTGTGAGTCCCATCTTTGTTTCCTCCAGGGAACTCCACAGGACAGAGACCCCACATAATGCATCTTTGGAACCAGCTGTTGAAAACCCACAGGAATACAAGTGAATGAAGGCATCATGCCTTTTCTTCCCCTTAGGAACTCCTATTCAACCTTCAAAACCCAACTCAAATATCCCCTTTTCTGTATCTATTGAATAAGAGGACTGAAGATCATGGTTCCAGGTCAGTGGCAACCCGGGCTGGCAGTGGTGGCCAAGCCATGCTCACCTGCAGGAGCAGCTTGCGGTAGCGGTCATTGAGCAGCTCTGCATTGCTCTGCTCCTCCTCCAGCTCTTCTTCCATCTGCCCCAGGCGCCCCTCCAGCTGCCGCTTCTCGTCCAGAATGGCTGCCCTGGGGAGAATGGGAAGGGGTGGGGGTGAGGGGGCAGGATGGCCAGAGGAGGGAGCTTTGCCCCACACGACCATGGGCCACTTACTTGCTAAGGTTGCCATTGGCCACCTCGTCTGCCATCTCGTCCCGATCCTGCTGGGCCTGCCTCCGGGCACGGTCTGAGGCGGCCAGCTCCTGCGATGACAAAGAGAGGGGTGGTCAGCGGGGGTGAAGGGAAGCCCCTCTCTGCCCACCGTGCAAGCGAAGACACCTCCACCTCAAGCGTCTCCGCTTGCAGAACATGCTGTCCCTGGCTGGCCTTGGAATGAACTTCGATCTGCGGATGTGTCCTAAGTCTGTCTCCTGAGCTCTTGCCCCGTGTCCACCTCTGGCTGCCCGACCCCCAGGCCCCTCACCCGCTTCACCTCCTACTACGCTCGGGGCTCCTTTCAAACCCGCTCCTCCTGCAGGTGCCCCCAGTCGCCGGCCAGACCCCTCTGTGATCTCCTCCCTCCTCCTGCCCCACACCGCCTCCTCCCTCTTGCCCTCTGCTGCTGCAGCCCCTTGGCCCTCTTCCCAGACTCCGCACCTCCCGTCTCCCCCTACACAGCTGGCCCTGCCCCTCCCCTGCTCAGAATCTTCCCATGGCTCCTTAGTACTCCTGGGACAAAAATCCCTGCCCCTCAGGCTGGCACTGGAGGCCACTCGGTTAGCCCCGCCCACCCCTCCAGCATCACGCCCAGGGGACACTGGTTAGCCCCGCCCACCTCCTGAGTGTCACCCCCCAGGCCCTGGCCCAGCCTGGCCTCACCTCCTGCAGCCTCAGCACCTCCTCTTCCAGCGCCTTGAGGCGCTTCTCACTTTCCCGGTTCTGGCCAAAGATGTCATCCCGGGAGCTCCGTGTCTCCTCTACCTCCCGCCACAGCTCCTTCATCTGGGCCTGGGTGGGATGGATAAGGAAGGTGAGGGCGCTCAGCCTGGCCTCGCCTCGCATGAGCCGAGCGGCACATGAGCCCAGGGGCGGTTCCTGGGCTCCCAGGAACAAGCAAGGGGTTTTCAGAACCCTGCAGACCTGAGCTCCCACCTATGAGCCTCTTGCTGTGTGACCCCGGGCCAGCCCCTCTCCCTCTCTGGTCCTCACTTTCCTTGACTGTAAAAGGAGTTGGTTGGCCTGACTGAGCTTAGAAGGCAGCTGGAGGTCTGAAGGCGCCTGGTTTCAAGTCACACGGACCTGGGTTTGAATCATCACTTGGCTATATCCTTGCTGTGTGACCTTGAGCCAGCCGCTGCCCCTCTCTGGGCCCTCAGTTACCTCCTCTTTAAAAATACCTTAAAATGAAAGTAAGCCAAAGATGGGTATAATGCGGACTCTGCGGTAACAGTAACGAATGACGGCAAATGCTTACTGACCATTCACCTTGGGCCAGGCCCTGTTACACACACACACGGACTCCCTCAATCCTCACAACTCCAGTTGCTGGGGACGTTTATCCTCCCCGGGGTACACATAGAGAAATTGAGGCACACAGAGGTTTACATGCCCAGGGCAGTAAGTGGCAGAGCCAGCATCTGAACCCAGGCTGCTGACGGAACCCAGGGTTTCCGTACTTGGCCACTTTGCTGCGTGGCCACTCTGCTTCCGGGAGTGTGTAAAGAGGAGGGTTTTCTCCTCAACGGTGCTTAAGGGAAAAAAACACCTAAACGTCCACCACCATTTAAAAAAACCACTCTAGGCCGGG